CTTCTATATGTAGCCTATCAGATCTTGTCCTAATGATCTGAATTTATACGTCCTCACCAATTAATTCGTGTTACACCTACACTTCCATGATACAAACATACTTAATATTATCCCTTTTTGTCACTCCTCATCTATCTCAGTAATATCCTTTCCACAACATGCATTTATTGATCTGCTTTTTGTTTAGCAGTCCAACATTTAGTGTAACAGTTTGACAGCTTTTTATCATTTGTCTTTCATTTGTCGTCTCATGTGTCATGTCACTTTAACCCTAGTGCCACAGTAGAGTGAGTGAGCGTTAAACTCAATAATTCTCAATACAATGTGAAGTATATCAGGAGGATACCATATCACCAAAACTGTTTACGATACTTTTGGAATGTATATTTAAAAGTACAAATCTGACCTACAAGGGCATAAATATAAACACAGACAAGCTTAGCCGTCTGAGGTTTCGAGATGATATTGTGCTAATAGCTGGCGAGGCCAAGGAACTTTTAAATTAGCTCCACTTTTCCGCTTTTGAAGGGGGATTGACACTGAAATTGATTTAATCTGTTTAAAAGCTAGATGATGACAAATCTTGTATTCAGCGAAATTATGTGTAGGAACAAGATCCATATACCAGGTATAAATACCTAAGTCACTAGATTCGCACAGAAAAAGAAAATAAAACCGTTGAGCTTCTCCGACGTATAAAAAGGAATTGGGCAGACCTTAAAGTCGTTTAACTTCCTCATATATTTTAAAAGAGAAACCCTTAATTATTTTTTTATTTATTTAGCGTATGGCAATTTGATACACAACATTATCACATATATGTTACAATCTAACATCTAATGTATTAATATATTCAATCGACGCTGGTGTTGCAGAGGAGAAGTCTAAAGGATCTCCATAATACTTCCTCCGAGGGCATTCGGCAATCATATGCTGGATGGTATGTTTCTCGGTGTCGCAGTCGCACTCAGCAGAGGTTCTCATCCTCCATTTATAAAGGGAGTCTGCGCAGACTCCATGACCCGTTCTTATTCTGTTAAGAGTTGACCATGATTTTCGGGGGAGGTCAAAACCATGGTGTGTTTCTCATTATTAGGTTCAGTCTGTCGCTCTGCATGTTCTTCCACTGGGAGTTCATTTGGAAATTGTTGGAACTCAAGTTTATTGCATCTCTAGTTGGAGGTTTTCTGGGGCGCAATCGATGTGAATTAGCATCGGCTACATATGTGTGTATAGGTAATTGCGGGTTGTTAGCAGGTTTTGGAATTCTCTAAGCAGAGCATGCTGACGACGAAGATTAGGTGGAGGTATATGGCTCAGTAGTGGAAGCCACTCCACAGGTGTAGACTTGATCGTTCCAGATATGAGAGGCATGGCGACATTGAGCTGGGTATCTATAATTTTTGTGTGAACGCTATTCAGCCAAACAGGAGAGCAGTATTCAGCTGCGGAGTATACGAGTCCAAGGACTGAACACCGAAGTGTACCTGCTGATGAGCCCCATGTAGTCCCGCAAAGCTTCTGTATGATGTTGTTACGGGTTCTCAGCTTTGCTGCGGTGTTCTCAAGGTGTTTCTTAAAGGAGAGTGTTCTGTCCAGGGTGACGCCGAGGTACTTGGGATTATAGTTGTGCGTGAGCAGTTGGTTATCAATGTATACTTTAAGTTTTGTGTGTACCCTTAATCAATATGTGTACGTCAATCAAGTATTGACGTACAGAGCCGAAACTTTGACAATAGTGCAAAAAATCTATACTATTTCTCTACGAGACAAGATCCCAATAAGGTCAGGAATGGCTGATGCTACACAGGGAATAGTAACACTGAAATGAAACTAGATAGATCACGAATAATGGATAACGGATCAACAAAGCAAATACTGGAATGGGGGCCCAGATAAAATGCCTACCGAAGTAAAGGACATCACAAATTATTAGGGAGATATATGTCCAGCAGTGGGCAAGAATGTCATTTTATCTTGATTTGATCGATTTAAGCACTACTTACTCTAGCCCTTTTAGGATATTCCTTTTTTTATTACCGTATACCGTATTTTTGGGTCGTATATAGAAGGAATTGTCTTGGTTTGGAAACATAATTCCATAATTAGATGGAATTCGTTTTTTTAAGTATAGTTTTGAATAAGGCTTGACTGTGGATGAAAAGTAATAGGATATAAAGAAATAAAGAGGAAAAAAATGGTACGACGAATACTGCGAATCAGTTACCAGAGAAAAAAATCTAGAACCAAAGAAATGGTTGAAAACTTGTAGAGAAGGAGACTTGGAAGAATATAGAAGAAGAAAGAAACACAAATGCTGTAAAAATAAAAAAAAGAAATGAATTGATGTACTTATAAAAGAATTGGAAGTTAATAGCAAGAACAATGTAAAGCTCTATAAATATATAAAATCACAAACAAGAAAAACCCAACAGCTAAGTTTGATGCTAAAATATGGGAGAAACATTACGAAGAGTTATTTAAGGATATATAAGGCACTCACGAATGCACAGAAGAAACATATCTTAATAATAAAAACGAAATCCAAAATCCGTCAAAATAACAATGGAAGTTGAGAGTTGAAGAAAACAGTTTAAATGAAGAATTTGCGAAGTTGTACAAAGACGCATCCAAGAAGAGTTTGGAAATAAATCACGATACAACAAAATATCTATAATGCTTAAGCAAAAATACAGTTAATGTGATATGATTCAATATTAACGAATATGAGTTTGAAAAGGTAGGACACTTTAAATAACTTGAGGTCTCAGTTAATGAAACTAATAATAGAAATATATTAATCAATGAGAGACTTCTGGCAGGAAACAAAACTAACTGTCATTTAGCGATACAACTTTCTCAAAGATAACGAAACTTACTTAGAATACTAAACTCAAAATTTGCAAAGCAACAATTAGACCAATAATCAGATATGGTACTGAAGTAATGTCCCTGACACAGAAAGATAAAGAAAGATTGAGGATCTTAGAGAGAAAAAATATTCGGAAAATAGTAGGCCGACTAAACTTAGGAAATAATATATTTAAAAAACTAAGGAACAACCAACTAAGACTAAATGTAATAATTACATGGATCAAGGGCCATTCAGGAATAAAAGGCAATGAGATCGTTGACAATTTAGCTAAATCAGCATATATGCTTGGAGGAAAGTAAACAAAAATTTAATTCCAGCGACAGATATTGACACCGTTAGTAGACAAAAACTTAAAAATAATTGGCATTCACATTACAGAGAATGTAAGACGGGCTTAAACTTTTATCATTGTAACACTAGGATACCCTCAAGAAGATGGTTTTACACAGAATCTAATCGACATTTTATAAAGACCATTAATCGGCTGAGAGCAAATCATGCTCTTACGCCATCTTACATGAATGGAATCGGCTTATCAAATACTCCCAATTGTACTTGCGGCAAAATAGGCGATCTAACACATATTATATTAGAATGTGATTTACAAATGAATAATATAAACGAACTTTATAAGGAATTAATAAATTCTAAGTGTTGTTTTCCAATAAACCTTAATATTTTACTATTTTCAAATAATATGGAAATTCTTCATTGCATTTACAAACATGTTAAAATATGTAAATACAAGTTGTAAATAGTATATAGTCATAATCTGTTAATATGGTTTGAAAAAAAAAAAACAAAAAAAAACAAAAAAAAAAAAAACGTATACCACAAATTAATAAAAAAAAAGAATTAAGAAAATAGAAATAGAACAAAAACAAAAGATAAATACAAAAAAAAATAACAAAAAAAAAAGAAAAAAACAATACAAAAAACAAAAAAAAACCAAAACAAAAAAATTAAACAAAAAAAAAAAACAAAAAAAAAGAAAACAAAAACAAAAAAAAAACAAGAAAAACAAAATAAAAATATATCAAAACAAAATTTATGTATCTATAAAAATATTAGGTATATGTAGTAATAACATTGATAACTGATAAGAAAATTTTGACTATGAATCTGCAATCTATAATAATTAAAATTCAGTCGATTTTAACAATCAACACAAACAAGTCTGGCTAATTGGCTCTGCCAAAGCCATTTTTCAGAAAAAAAAAGCAACTAAGAGAACTTTTGAAAGGAGAAGACATCGTCAGGTTTATCAAGGCACAGAAATTCAGGCAGACCACGAGAAAGACCAAAACCGATATGGAAGAATCAGATAATTTCGGATCTTAATAATATGCAAATTAGAGAATAAAAAATCATAAGCAAAAATGGGAAAAAATATTGTAGAAAACGCCAAAACAAACAACTCTATGGAAATAAAATTAATAAAATCAGTATTTTAACGCTACATTGCAAATCAATTTTGCAAAACAGTGTACAAAGTAAAACAAAAATATGCAAAAAATATGCAAAATATGCCAAAAACATATTGAAAATTTACTTTGAAGAGAAATTTAAGAACACGTAATAAAATCCATAAATGTAGCCAACAAAAACCAGTTCTGGAGAAGATGGTGCAGACAAAATGGTAATATGTCGAATCACAGATATAATGGAACATAGAAAGCAGAAATGAGTGTAGTAATATAGACAAGCTATAAAAAATAGAAAAAAAAATAAAGAAAAGATTAGTTTCTTTTACTAATATGAGAATAAACGAATTACTTTGTTTAAAAGGACAGAATGATTAAAACAAAGAAAGTAACGTATATGATAAAACTGGGGTATGTGTTTTAGTTATTTATATCCTGCAAGACTGTACAACTTAGCTATTAACCTTGGTAACTAGTATATATTTTATATTAGTTTCTCGTAAAATATCTTTGATGTTTATAGATTCTTTATGAGCTATGAAACTACAAAAATATATTTTATAGACGACTATTTTAAATTTAGAAACATGTAACTGTGTTAACAAGTGTTTATTTGCGCAATAAAAAGTGTCTATTAAGATTAAAACATCAAAGGAAGTATAAATTTTTTGTCTTGACACAAACGTTAAACTTTATATTACCTGTTTCTGCAATTTTTTCATCCCTTTCCTCGGGGTCCAACTTCGGCAAGGTGTGAAGGCTTCGTAAACGTCCTCTAACCCTGGTAATCATCCCCATTTCTCAAAAAATCATACCACAAAACCAAAAGTCCGTAACACTACTAAAAAGATTTGACACAAAACTTCCACGTTTCCAATTTTCTGACGTTTGAGTCGCACTGAAATAGATTTTCGGGAGAAACACTTCAAATACGACTTTTTGTTTTTATTCGAGATAGACCAGTCAACTGTTATTGAGGATTAATAAATATTTATCCCGATGGAGGCTTGTACGTGGCATTTTGCTCGGGCAAAAATTTTAGAGGGGTTATTTGCGTATATAATATGCAACGTTGCCAATCTTTAGAAAATTTTTGCATGGAACTTTGTTTTTTTTTATACTAAAACTGAAGTTCAAAGGACTGTTACTGTTTCGCAAATATCTATAAATCATCAACCGATTAGATAAAGTAAAGTTCGTGTAACGTTCTATCTAAGGTTTAGCGTTAGGGTTTTTAGGTCGCGCCATCAGAAAATTGAAATTCAAAAATTTGTCAGTGTCGAGGATCGTGCCTGGGCCATCCAGTTTGTTAAGTCAGTAACATATTTCAAGTAATTTTTGGTTGGTACAACTTGATTCTGAATGGCGAGTAAGAAGCCTTATGTTTCAGGGAAAATATTTCCTGATGTTAATCAATAATTCTAGGCTGTATTGCCGATCCAACTTCATTGGGATGTCACTCACAAAGAGGTTGACTCATCCAGGTGCGTATTTTTTCAATCGTAGAAAAGTAGTTAATAAAGTTTGTCTAAATTGTATCTTGGAGTGTCGGTACTTCACATAATTTTGTTTTTGTCATCTAGGTTTTATAAATTCAAATTATTGGAAAATGGTCACTGCTCCAGACAATGTCTGCTCCTCTTTTATTATATCCATCAAGAGAAGATCGCTACCTCTTTGATATGGTGATGTGGTCCATTGGTATTACAAGATGCAGTCCTTTCTGGATATTTCATGTAGGAAGACGATCACACCCATTACTGTGGTTAGATTAAACGTAATTTCAACGCTCTCCGGTTTCTTTTATCGCTCCTGGCCATGTTAGCCCATTACGGTTTTTAAATTAGCGTAGTCTTCTTCATTTTAGCGTTCATATCGCCCATCACTGTAAATAAATCGCCTTGGCTTACTTGCTAAGACTTTGTTTTAATTTGTTTGTAGAAAATGTGTTTACCTTTTTGGAGAGATATGTTTGTAGGAGTATGGCACTGAATCACTATTATTCTAGGGTATCTGATATCGACTCTGACAGTAATAAATCTATCATTTATTGGTTTCTATAAAATAAGACATTATTTGATTCGCTTGCTGAGTAGGAGACCCGCCCTCGTTAGTGACTGCATTATCATTACTACTTTATAATACCAGTTCTCCTGGCATTTTAATTGGTTGCATGTGGTGTTCGCCATTGTCTCCCCTCCTTTTTACTTATATCGTTATAGAGTAGCTTAGTTTATATCAATTTAATTCTTTGACTGCTTCAGATAACTTCTCATCTCCTAAAGTGTCTGAACATTCCAGCTATCAAATGGTGTCTATGTTTTTGATGATGCCAAAGTGGTATTAACATTCGATCCGCCCGGTTTTTTTCCTCCAATTTTTTTCATCCGAGTCTGGTGAAACTTTAGATTCCAGACAAGCATCAGGAGATAGAAATCCTAGGGGCAACAATACTTCCTTCGTGCAAGATATTAAGTTTATGCCGCCCAAATTTGGTCGCCAGAGCTTCCTTTGTGACTAAAATGTTCACAAAAGTGAAGGTGAATTTGACATTTGAGTAGGAGATGCTATTTAAGACGCATTACTACCTAATAAGAACCCTAGAATATTGACTTAAATCAGTTAAATAGTTGACTGTATTAAAAAAAAGCAAAGGAATGCATAAAAGCCCAAAAATTCAAAAATCTTTTTAGATACTGAAATATACAAATTTCTGTGTTAAGCTAGACATACTAGATCAGCATACAACATACTAGATACAAAATATATGATGTGCATAAAATCAAACCCAGCTACATCCAATTTTTTGAGCAAAGTAGCAAAAACTCTAACAAACAGACCAACCACAATAAAAACATATTTTTTTAACCAAAAATTTCTACATTTCAACGTTTCTTAGTGACAAATTATGAAAACATATTAACAGAATAAAAATTTTTTATGAGGAAAAATATTCTTTGTAAATTGGTTTTGGTGGGTTTGATACTCTTTTTAAAAATAGACAGCTATTAAGGTATAAAGGTATAATAAAAAAATATATGCAATGCCAATTCTGTATGATTCTTCACAATTAAGTTTTAGAAATTTTTACATTAAAACATGCGAGCATGTTTTTAAATTAGTGTTTTCACTAAACAACTTTCAGATTGTCATCTTTAATTTCCTCTACTTCTTGGCCATCATCGTTCTCCTCTGGTATTTCTTCTGTATTTTCATTTTGATTTTTCTTCAATTGAAAGTAAAATTGAAGAGACCGAAGTTAAGCAACATCCCTAATTTTCAAGGCCTTTAGAGTCACTACCTTTTCCATTTTAATTAGTATCATGTTTTAATGTGTGTAATTTGGTTTAGTAACTTGCCTGAATTTACAGGTGTCTGTCCTATGAGCAACTTCGCCTTTAACCAGTTTTCTCTAACTTTTGCTTTAAAATCATTCGTTTGGAGGGGTTAAACCTAAATTGCCAATTTCCTGGTTTCTTTTATACCTTGTTAAAAAAAAATGATAGACTAGTGCTAGCTGTCACTCCTACTTTGTGAAAAGTGTCATATTTTGCAAGAAGCATAGCAATAAGAATAGTGTTCTTTTTTCTGGACCACAACCATCAGCAAAACACTTGACTTTTGTTTTTATATTAAAATTTTCTTTTAACAAGTGGTGATAGAGACAGAAAGTTATTGAACTCAACCTCACCCTCACACTAAGTGCGGCAGTGGGTATTTTCTTTTGATAGTTTGGTTTTAGAGTGGCCATTGATAACAATGAAGTTATTAAAGGACTACTGCCTGCTAAAATAAGCCAATTGATCAGGCACTCTGGTCAATAATAACTTCTTTTATAAGTCAAATGTTAAAACTACGGTCTTATCATCAGCAGTCTTTAAAATTTCATAAAAGGCATCCTACTTTAACTTGTGCGCTTGTTTTTGATTAATTTGCTTCTTCTTTATATTTTTTTTTCTATTTTTAATTTTTGGTGAATCAAAACCAAAGTTAAAGTAAGTACTGATAACTTCTCGAAAATAAGATTCTAGAACGGTAATAACACAAGTTTTCGTCTCAATCACAGCTGAGAAAGCTTATTTTAAAATGTAAAGACTTAAATAGTGTTTAATGTTCCATCCACCTTGTCAAAATCAAGCAGAATAAACTTGTGTGAAGAGTTTGAAACTAAATATGGATACAACTACGTTGGATTTGGCGGGCTTTGAAACTAGACCAGATTTTTAACATTGTTTTGCAGTGAAATGTGTTAGGTTTAGCTACAAAATAATATATTATTTGAGTTCGGTGTTTGAAACTATGGGATAGGACGTCTAATTCAATTTGAAGAAAAATTGGACGTGGTGGGGTTTGAGTCTAGACGCCTCATGTGGATATAGTATATCACAAAGAAAAGCGTTTAAATAAAATTTTTAAATTGTTGAATCTACCGTACTGCCCTTTATACATAGGACACTGCTTCCACCGATCATGGCTCTATTGTTAAGATGAAACAGTTATGCAGCGGCTTAAGGGTATATACGTGATAATATTAAAAACAATTTTACCAGCGAACCAAATGTACAGATAGTAAATATGTCACTCACAACAATTATAATTTACCAAAAAAAAAATACCTACAATATTTCTTTGGAATTAATAAGTAATATTAAAGAATCTTCAAAATGCATATTAAGATTCTAAATTCCAAATAATTATATCTACCATTCCCTATAAATAATGAAAATAAAGTTGTTGACTTTAAATAATTTGATTTTATTAAGTGGATGTAGAAAAAATATCATGTATTAGGGGCAAAAAGTGGCATTATTTTTAACAACTTATTTCGAGCAATAATGTATTACTTTTCATTCTTATTACATAAAAACCATTTTATTGGCAGAAATACCGTTCAAAAATAATCACCTAAATGCAATATTAACTTAATAAATTAATTTGTTTTCAACAAACTTAATGCATCCACTTGCATCAATATAATTAACATAATTTACTAAACTTTCGTTCCTCATTAATTTTAAATCCACTTTTCGATTAATATGAAATTTTAAAATTAAAGCAAAATTAAGTATTACGTGTTTTGTGGCCATTTTTGTAGGCGACTTTTGGGAGTAACTTTAGTCTGGTCATTAATATAATCAAGGCCCCTATGACTTCATGGTCTACGTCATCTTCAAGGCAATCCATTTTAAGATACTAATTTGAAGTTTAAAGTAATACCCAGTTTGCGAATGCGATAATAATTTACGCCAATCTAGAGGGTGATCCGAAGACGTTTGTGGTTTAAGAAGTGGAAAAATATAGACCTTTTTTTAGTATCTTTTAAATACTGAATTAAATATATTTTAGTTATTATTAGGTGTTAATACATATTCAGATTTAATGTGGCTCTCACTACTTTTACGGTGAGAATCACTCATCTCAGATGACTAGGGTATCAAGAGGATTGAGCTCTGGGTGGATTTTTTTTTGTGTTATCTATGCCTAATATGTAAGATCTGATATGCTGGTGTATCTTTCACATATTTTATAACACATCTGGAGGTTATCAGCTGTACAGTTTTTGCATGGTTAAAGAAAACTTGAATACAGTGATAAATATAACGAAAAACAGTATGTAAACTATATAGTGGGTGACTTTAACCCAAAGATTGGTAGAGGAAGGGTAACAGATGTAGTGGAAAAATATAGTGTGAGAGATAGAAATGACAGAGGCTGGTCGAGTTTTGATAGCAAAATGAAACGTAAACCCCAAATACATACTGTAAGTTACTACCAAGAAGACTTATTGCAGCAATAATGACAAATCCATCAGAAGAATGCTCACCTCCAAGACTAACGAATAAAACAACAGACTGAAATATTTTCAAAAAAGTCCTACAAGAAAAATAGATCTTAAAATTCCACTAAAATAACCACAAGAAATAGAAATACCAATAAAAATATTAACAAAGCACATACATGAAGCTGCA